AATAAAAGAAAAACGTTTGGCGAAAACGAATTGAGAGACAGACAGCATTTGCAATCGATGCGATTTAATCATAAACATAGTTCGGAAAGAAGTTTCCGTTTCTTTCTTTTTATGTACACACGCACATATATATATATATGTATATACATAATATATATTATGTATGTATTCATATATATAAACTCACAACATTTGCATGTGAGCTTTTTCAAACCGAATATGAGCCATTTTGATTGACAGCCTTTCGTTATTTTTGTGGCAAAATTATTTTTCCGCATCCCAAAATACGGAGACCAAAATCTTCCCAATCGGCTTGGCTAATTAGCCATCTGACTCTGAAGTGTGTGTGAAGTGTTCCAAGTTTCACCCAATGCCATATATTTGCATGAAGAGATACTTTCTTCTTCACCTGAACGGCTTCAACACGCTTCTGTTTTTTGATCAAAAGTAAGCAAACGCGGCAGCCACTTCGAAGAGACCGCTTTCATGAAGATGTGTTCATGCCAAATGGTGAATAAGTTGCCTTTTGATATGTTTATGGCGTCAGCGATGTATCGCAACTACACCCATCAGTCTTCTAAAACGATTTTGTGCCCTTTCTTTTTGTTCTTTGGGCCCACTGCCGTATTCGGTCGACCAGAGTGTTCAGCATCACCACTCTGAGAACGTTATTACATTTATGCTAGAAGTATTAATATATACCCTTGGTTCATGCAGTCAAAGTTTACCAAAGTTTATCACTAAAATGAATGCTTGTTCAATTTTCATTTGCTCCGTGTATGCTGAGCAAAGAGAAGAAGAAATTGAAAAGGTTTTCTCAAAACAATTTGCTTAAACTTGAAAAAATCCTCGACAAAGCTTTACAAAATTATGTTACCACTGAAGGGCGGGGATGTACTCATCTTTTTTTCTTTTCTAATATACGGAACACCTAAACAGGAATCTCCATAAGTTCTATAAGGTATATGTATGCTTGATCAGTCCGAATTCCTGAATTTATGAAGTCATGTCTGCCCGTCTGTGTGTCTGTCTGTATGTGTTGTGTTTGTTGTTGGCACTCTTTTGGTCGCAAAAATGAAGACATCGAATTTATATTTGGTAGAAAGATTGGAAGTTTTTGCACGCAGGTTAGTATTGAAAGTGGTTCAAATAGGTCAGAGCAGAAGCCCATAGTGGAGTGTAAATTGAAAGGAACTCAATTTTTTAAGCACAAATTTGTGGATTCTCGCTCGTCGAAACGCTCCACTCTGTACGTGCGAAAAATCGAAAAAATCGCCCACGCCCACGCAAGGTCGCAAGTGATTAAATTTTACTTTTTTTTCACATTTTTGAGGTTTTATGCTTATTTGTCATAGCGCAAACAAGACCGAATATTTAAAGCCGTTTTGTACACTCCTCAAGTGAGGAGTGAGGAGTGGCTGCAAAAGAAAATCACGTAATTCCAAAATGAATACGGTAGACCCCGCGACATGATGGATAAATATTTTCTTAAAAATACCTTTGATATACGTGTCCAATGAAAGGAGTTGGAGGGTAGAATGCGATAGAATGCGAGATGTTAGTTATAATTGAATTATAGTAAACGTTTCAATAGTGGTGGGTGTGCGAGAATCGGGCACCGTCTAGTATAACTTTCTTACTTGTTTTTGAATAATTTCCCTTCGTATTGGTTACTAATTATTATAAAGTATTCTTAAAGGAAAGTTTTTAGAAAGAATAATAGAAATATTTTATATGTGACTATAGTGAAGTGCTAGCAAATGTTATCTTGTCTTTAGAACTAAAATGAAGGAAAGAGAGATAGATAGATAGATACCTATCTACATATCATTTATACCACTTTTCATTTATTATATTCCTATGTCAAAAAAATCTGTTTTCCTATAGCACACCCCAAAAAAAGAAGAAAGCAAGAGAACCTTGTGGAAAAAGAGTCCTTTAAAGTTGTATAACCAATGCCACTTACACGTCACACTTAATCGAATTATCATCAACATCGTCATCATCACCATCATCAAACATGGCGTCAACAAATGTAATAATAGCCCGGTGGCTTGAACTTTTTCTATAGTCTGGATTTTTTTTCTTCTTTTTCAGTCATTTTGTTGTTGTTCTTTTTTTATTATTTTACTCTAAAAGGATTTGTATACATATCTACTTACTGTTTGCGCTTGAACCCAAAAAATGACAATGCAAATTTTTTTAAGCCATTCACTCCGTTGTTGGCTTCAAATTTGAGGTTATGCTATATGTCAAAGTTTTTGTTATATCCCTAAAGCAGAAATTTTGTAAATTCCTTCAACTCTGCTCAATAATACACTGACAGTGTATTCCCAGCAAATATCGAAATGAAATCAACATGTACAGATTTATTCCTCTATGAACTCTCGTCTTGTTTACTTTTTTTTTCTTTTTTGCATGTCTTTTAATCCTTGCGTGTCCTTTGCGAGTTTCGTTTTCTTTTTCCTTTTTCCTTTTTCTCTTTTTTTTCTATGTATATTTGCGTAAATTCAACCAGAGTTTGATTCTTATTTTTCATGACCCGTGACTAAGGTGCGATTTTAATGGATTTCCTTTTGTTGTGCTAAACTGGACACCACCATACCCAAAACCATTATATTTATCCTTAACGTCCAATACAATATATTGGTCAATAATTCCTGGAACCAAGCAAGAAAGAAGTACTTTTTCATTTGCAAAATGCAATTTTGTTTATCAATTCAGCCTTCTTGAAGAGTGACACAGTCAATCCAAAGCTTTTTCAACTCTTTGATAACATTTTTGTAAAACGATTCATCAGTTTACACAACGATCTCATCATTTGATCTAAATTCCTTTCTCTGAAGTAATACTTTGCGGTTTGCAAACAAGTTTCAGAAATAGGATGACTGAGGCAACAATTCGATCTTCAATTCATGTAATTTTGCCGTTACAGCCATCGATTTGTGAAATAGTGTGCATAACGTTAGTAGTTTGGAGATTAGCTGACATTCCACTATTAATGCAAAATAGTGAATTAAATTTCGATATCTTTTAGATGTCAGTCAGTGTTACTTATGCCTTCCGACTATACTTTTCGATCATCAAGGATAATTTTTAGCACTTCTTTGATGTTTTTGATGCCCGCTACATCTCTTCTTTTTCGTGGAGAAGAATTCCCTTCACACTTTCGAAGCCAATAACTTCTTTGGAAAATAAGGACAATAACAATTAACTCAAACTTTTGCAATATTTCGAAATCAATGCGTAGACAATGCGTAGACAGTGCGTAGACAATGCGTAGATAAATAATCGAAATGATATGAAATATTCACAATTGCTATTTGAAAGGTAGACTTTAGAAAAATGAGTTCCGCGACTTATTGGTCGAAGTGTTACTTACGCCACTTGATTGGTTTCACTTTAAATCAAATAATTTATAAGCTATTATCTGAAAAGTCTATGAGCTCAATCATTGCATTTCGTACTTTCGAATACAGGAATGAAAGATCTCATAGACGACACACATTCTTGATAAAATTTCATGATTCACTACATCTATCTGACAAGATGAAAGTGCTTAAGGTCAGAAGCCGTTGTAATGGTCTTAAAAAAGTGTTTTTCGACAATATTTTTTCTTCTTCAAGATGAAAGAAAAATTAACGGAATAGTAATATTCGAGAAAATCATTAAGCATATCTATCCATATTCACGTATGAAAAAAAGAATATCATTGAAATTCACCAAAAAAAACCATTTGCTTTTTTTTTTTTGGTTAACTTTAGATCTTCTGCGAATATGTGAGGAAAAGTTCATTGAACGCATGAAAGGTTTTCCTTGAAATTTTGTGCTTTTTCCGAAAGAGACCACCCACGTACTGTGAATAGCTGTGCGCGAAATTACAGCCTGATGTTTTAGCTTTCAACATCGAACTTCTCTGATCCGGAGTGTATCTATGTCTATTTAAAACCATTTCCGAACAAAGATACGCTTGTTTAGCTTCAACGAAAGATTGCCAGTGCATGGATATGAGGCTAAGGGCGATTGGAGGGCTTTCAATGTTTTGCGATGAAGTTTGTGATATTAGTTATGACCTCGACTGTTAGATTATACATTTTCTTGCCGCTTTCTCCACCATCTCGACGTATGTAAAGTGTAAAACCTGAGATTCTGTTCTCGACAGACGCCATTAGATCGTCGAAGAAAGGGAATGAAGATGATTATTTGAACATGTAAACGCATATTTATGGTCCTGAGATTGCTGAATATGCACATTTTTTTCAGATAGGTTAATTTAAATCTCTTTTATTAATAAGAGAGTGCCTTTCTTTGGTCAAAAATCAAAGTTCTTCATTCAACCACTCGCCAAGTCCACAAAAATCAATATTTTTAAAAAGCCCTATGTGTTCCTTTAGCTATAGGTATGTAGATTAAATGATATTTTTCTTCTTTTTTTTTAAATTAAAATATATACGAAAATAGGCAAAAGACCGCGGATCTCCTTTAACCGAAGACGATTTACGATGCCTTAATATTTTTCCAAAATATTTTTTCTTCTAGTTCTTAAAGATATGCTTAAAACCCTCCTCAAACATTATTATCCCTTTAATTTTTCTTCCATCCACAAAAACTTTCCAAAAAGCAAGTTTGGCTGCTACAATGGTGTTACCCCGTAAACTGTTCCGCCTTAAGGGGCTTAGGCGGAATTTGTATTTAATAAAAAAATATCAACCCGCATATTTAGGAGTGTTTGGGTAAAATAGCTCACAAAAATAATAATAATAATAATAACTAAAGTATACATTAACTTATCAAACTATTGCTCTCTGAAATGTTGTTTTGAAAATACTGCGATCCGGCCGAACGGCCGAGTAGGCAAAGACTCTCGACATTGTTCGAGTAGTTATTCAAAAGTAACAAAATAAATTAAAGTGGTCTTCCCTAGAGGTTGTGGTTTTTTTATTTGATTGCTATTGGATAATATAAAAAAATTAAGTATATCTTCTCTTAATTATTTTCAGATATCAATAAAGGTTCACCCATCGATTATAAAAGCGGTTCGGCTTGCTCAACACCTACCAAGGATACTCTTAAAGGCTACGAACGTTCCACGAATAATTGTATGGGTCCTGTGCTTCCACCGCGCAGTGTTATGAGCGGCATACCTACGCATCATTATTCGGCACCTATGAACTTTCGTAAGGATCTTGCCGCCCGTTGTTCGGCCAAATGTGTAGCAATTGTCTCGGTGACGATTTTTGTGGCCATGTGCGTTTTATTAATATTTTTAACAGGTGGGTAAATTAGATTTAATAAAATATTGCGTCAATACATAAATTCGTAGCAAATCGACAAATTGACAAAACGACAAATGTCTTGCGCAGAACGTCTTCAACGATTCATGCTAACCAAAATGAGAAATGCCTTGACGAGTAAAACTATATACGCCTTTTGTACGTATATTTTTGTGCGTTCATAAAAGTCACCTATGATTTTGGCACAAATCTCAGCTTTTTTGCTTAATGCACGATTTTCTATGCATTTGACGAACACGCAAGACAAAAAAAACAATTATGGGCGCCATATGTATAAATTTTCCTAAACGAATATATGTATGGGTTCAAAAAATGAATTATTGGCGTTAATATGTAATTAAAAAAAATTGCTATTTATCCGTAGGCTTTGGTGTCCTGCATTGGTCTCCCTCTGCCCCCTGTACAGTTCTAGTCGGCAATGAGGCCTCTGAGGTGACAGCGGCCAAAAGCACCAATACTGACCTCTCCAAGTTGCATAATTACGCGCCACGCTCAAAAACCGGACAAACTACGACTTTAGTGACAACCGTAAGCTCATCGTTGCCCTCATCATCTTCAGCCTCGGCGGCAGCGTCGTCATCCTCGTCGGCCTTCCAGTCCACTTCAGCCTCCTCGGTTGCGGTTGGAGCAGCGGCAGCGACATCATCGGCTACATCGTCATTGTCATCATCACTGGCAAATGCCAATAATCCAGGTAATTATTCACAACTTTTAATTATTTTCCTTTCCTTGCTTGAGTTTTGCAAACTCTTGAATTGAATAAAGATAGTAGAATAACAACAACGATAAACTTAAGAAAATCACAAACATTTTTTTCGAAAAAAAAAGGAATTAAAAAAGAAACGAAAAGATAAGAAAAGAAAAGAACCCCACTAAAGAGCAAAAAAGCAATTTCAACGACTTCTTCGGGACAAACAAATAGAAAAAATTAAAATAATCAAAGAATGAATGCCCAGGATGAGCGAAAGAGAAGGGAGAGCAATGTAAAAACACAACAAGTCAATAATTAAAAAAAAAAAAGAAAATAAACACATTTGTCTAAGGGGTGTTGAAAACTTTAAATTATCACAGATAGTAACGATAATAAGTAAATGCAAAACATAAAACTTTCCTCCAAGCTTAGAAATGATAAAATCTAATAAAAAAATAAAGAGAAAAAAAGAATATAAGACCGAGACCGGCATCCAGTATTTGGCTTGGTATAATAACGTTAATAACTGCTGATTGTTGCTTATGCAATAAAAGAAATTAATTAAAATCTTTTTTTTCCACTCGTCTAAAACTCGTCTATAAAGCTTGACGTAGCTGTTTAAAAAAAGTATTTAAAAAAGCGCAAAAAAATTTTTAAGAAATTTATAAAAGCATTTTATTATATCGTACTCTTCTTCCATCGCAGTCATATCAGTACACGTATTGCATTTTCGCATTAAATTGGTTCCAGTGAGTATTTATGCGATCAAACCCGTAGCTTTACAGTATAGAAAGCGAGTTGCAATTTTTTGATGGATTCATAAATGAGCCATGACATCAGCGACTAAATAAAAAAATAACTGAGAAATTTCACCCTAAAATTAATAGAGGGCGGACAGACAGTATAGTAAAACTACTATAAAGATCAAGCTTTCTACATCGAGTTTCAAAGATTGCGCGACAAAGGGAGAAAGAGTATTTCAGCTTTTTTCGGTGTCATAAAGGCAACAAATTTCGAATGCATCCTCACGCCCATGATAGTGATAATGATAGCTAAACAGTAATAGCATAATTTCACTTAGTCCTTAAAAATGCGGCGAAAGTTATCCCTTCTATCACAGTATTAAAAATTTTATTGAATTTATTCCGGCAATTGCCGTAAATTCTTTGCTCTAAAGAATTATTATGCTCACTTTGCCCTCCCTTTCGTGACTGAATTGCATCTGTTTTCAGCGACACGCAGCGGAATTAAATTAAGTACACATTTTACGCATAATTAAAGCATAAAAAAACTGAAAACTTCTACTTAAGCCAAGTAGTTTAGCGTTTAAATGGACGTGAAAGCGCTTCTCACTCCTAAACCATTCAAACTTGTCCTCTTCGCTTCCATGAAAAGTGTAAGAGAATCGATGCCGTCATTCTCTCCCTTCGTCATCGCCGTTGCATTTTCATATGCATGGTAAACTTTTCCGAAAGAAATACAATAGGAGGACGGACATCAAGTAAATAATTTCGGTTTAATAATAAACAAAAACATTGAAAAGATTTGCAAAAATGTAAAATAAAATGTAAAAAATTAAATAATTTATTTATATATATATATCTGCGTATATGTGTGTGTGTGTGTATGTAACATATATAATATTTAGAAAATACAGAATCATTGATAAGATGGATGATGATGTACGATTATAACTACATCAAAGAGTTATTACACGCGCAACGTCTAAGGCAACGACAGGAGCAACCATTGCAACAGCAATGGCAATGGCAACGACAACGGCAACGGCAGCGTCAACGTCAACGTCGAAGTTTATCAACGCAAAGTTTTAGCGACTTAATTACGGGCCAAATAAAGGAGTTTGGCGTTAATAAAACGGATTTCACAATAAATACAACGACAATATACTCTGGAAATGATACGGATATGATGAGAAGACACCGGCAAGTAATAAAAACTGCACAAATTGTAGAAAATGAAAATCAAACTAAGAAAACTGAAAATGAGAATGAGAATGAGAATGAAGCTGATGCTGATGCTGATGCTGATGTTGATGTTGATGTTGATATTAATGTTAATGTTAATGTTGATGCTGATGTTAATGTTGGCGCTGATGCTGATGCTGAAGATGAGTTTAGTTTAATGATGAAAAGTAATTATGGTAACACAAATGCGAATATAAACACAAAGGCTGACGTTAAGGGAGAATTTGAAGATATTACGACTTTGGAAAAACTTTTACCTGATTTTAATTTCAAAGGGAAAAACGATTACAGCAGCAGCACTGCAAGTGATAACTTGATTGTAGACGATAATTATGACGAAAGCGAAAACAATGATAAAGTTGATAAAACTTTGAAAATCGATAACATATTAAATCTCTATAAAAGTAATGATTATCATAATAATTATAATAACAATAATAATAATAATAATAACAACAATAATAATAATAATAAAAAAAAAAAGAAAAAAAAAACAAATAATGTGAACATAAGCAATAACTATGAAAAAAAAGAAAATCATCTTAAATTGAATAAACCTGACTATGAAGCCGGCGACGATGAGAACGTTGACGATGATATTAAGGCTGATGCTGAAGCTGATTTTAAAAATTATCAAGTATTGAGAAAATCTATACCGGCTAACAACGATATTAAACAGCAACAACAAAAACAGCCAGATAAGTATTTAGCAATAAAAAGCTCAAACCATGAAGATATAATATCAGCAACGGCAGATGATTATAAGCCAAAAATTAAGGAAAATATTTATAAAAATTTCATTAAAAATGAAAAATTAACGGTACTTGATGAGAATTTTACGGAATATAATAATTTGAACGATATCAATAGAAAAATGAAGGGAGAAGAAGACACGATTACAAAATCATTAAAATTTAACAAATCATTAAACAACAATCAACAAAAGCACAATAGAAACGAAATGGGAATCGAAAAAGACGATATTGATGACAATAATAATGATGATGACGATAATGATTTGTTATTGCTATCGACAATAAAAAGACAAAATGATACCGTTATCATTGACGTTATTAATCAAAATGACAACATTTCTGAAATTCTAAAGCAGCCTGTAGAAGAAAACATGAAAAAATTGGAAACTGATACGAACGACAATGATGGCGGCACAACTACGGCACTCGGTGTTGTGGCTGATGACTTTCTCGAAGAAAATCATTTTCAAATCAAATCAATCAGCGGTGATGTAACTACTGCCGCCATTGTGGACTCGATAGCATTTAATAGCCATAATTTAAATGACTATTATGATGACATTTATTTAAAAACAACAACAAAAGAAAATGTAAAACTTAATATACTAAATACTCAAGCTGTCGAGAATGAAAAATTTATATTAAATTACAAAGACGCAAAGGAAATGACAGCAAAAACGGAAGCGTATGAAGCATTTCCCAGTTCTACTACCACCACAACCACCACCACCACCACCACCACCACCATCGCCGCCGCCGCCGCCACAGCCACCATCAACGACGTAACCCCAACCATTAGCATCACGACCGCTAAGCTTCCTCATCATTTGTCAAAGATCAAAGCAGAGAAAGAAAATAAAAATTCTTTAGAAAATCTTATGCTAAATGACGGCTTAATAAAACCAATGAAAGAGGAACAAGATTTTCAAGAAATGGATTACGCTCAACATATGGATGATGTTGACATTGTCAAATTGGAAGAAACTCATTCCACCGAAGACGAGTTATATAAAACGATTGATGGTACTCGCGCTAAGCATTTTAAATTACCGAGAACGTCAAAAATGCGAACAATAATCTATGATAAATATAAAAATGAAGTTTATAATTCCGAGGAAGAGCCTGATGATGGCAACAATTTTTTAATAAATAATGAAATCACAAATTTGCATCCTATTACGCCGACGTTGTACTTAACAAGCACTGCTTCGCCTGCAACTACGCTCTTAAGCACTCCGATAACGAGTCCCCTTGATAAACGTATAATGGTGAACTTGACGATAGCAAGCAACGATGGATCAGGAAATATGTATTCTCTTCATATAGCCGTGCCAGCCTTCGATAATCATGGCCAGGTTAAGAATGTAGAGCAAGTGCTTACACATGACCATTTGCCATATGGCGAACAGGAGCAATCATCTTTCAATAATAAAAACAGTCCATATTGTATACCGGAGCCACCACCACCTATACCAGAGTGTCCCTGCCCGTGCGTTAATGTATTTGAAACATCATCGCCGTCGTTACCTTCCTCTGATGAGCATTTAAATAACTCTGACGACCAATTCAATGACCAATTAAAACTCATAAGCCTTGATAACAAGATTAATAAAAAAAATAATAAAGAAACGAATCGCGTTCGTTCTGGCATCTCTTGTAAAACGAATGATGATAATAATGATGATGATGCCAACTTGCCCACTACTACTACCATTGCTACTACTACTACTACTACTACTACTACTACTACTAGCCCATCTATTAGTGTTTTAACTTCTACTATAAAAGGTGTTATTGATAATGTTCATGATGATGATGATAATAATGATGATGATGATAATGATGATGATGGTATTGTTGATAGCATGATGATTGGTGAAAAGTTTGCATGTCCTGATGTTATGCCTATTTTAATACTTGAAGGTGATTGTTTTCATATTTAAAATCAGCTAATACAAGTCAATCTAATGATCAAACCGATACCTACTAATCTGCCCTAAACTAATCTGAATTAACTAATAAAATAAAAACCGAAATTGAAAACAGTAAAGAATCTCTTTAACATTTCTTAGCGTAATAATCGTTTGGTTGTACAGTATACTTAATATTCATTATAATGGCTTTAATTACTTAACATTCAAAGATTGTCAATACGAAGGAAAAATCATGTGAACCCAATACATTGTAACACTATAACACAGTAAAACTTTAACACTAGCATCCATTACCTCAAAACCCCGTGCACGAGAACGTTATAATGCTCCTTTCTTTTTATATTTAAGCAAATTTATAACGATCTGTTTATAGTAATAATAACAAAACAATCTCATATAATCAATGTCGAAATGAGATATTTTTTTTTTGTTTTTTTGCAAATTGATCACAGCATATCGGAGCTTAGATAATGTTGGCAAATGGAAAGCACTCTTAGCACTCCTGTTTAGCTATTTATGGATGTGCAGTAAGCAAAAGAAATTATGTCAAGTCTCTCCGTTGTTTTCCGTCGAAGGATAAATGCAAATCATCGTTAATGTTTGGCAAACGAAAAAAAAAACCAAAAGACAAAAACTAAGAATGAATTGAATAAATAAAGTGTTCAGCTCTTCAATTGCTTCATTGTCTAGGTTATCTGTGCCGTATACTTGAAAATCCTTTCATCTTATCAATGAGAGGAACTGTATGTACTGCCCGGGAGTCTTAATATCAAAACTCATTTAAATATAAGCGCATTTCTTAAATCCATTCTCTTAATCTCCAAAAGAACGCATTGCATTAACTAACTAAAGTACTTTTGTTGTCTTCTTTTTTTTTTTTTTGTGTGTGTTATTTATTCTTATCACACTCACACACTCACATACATACATACACACACAAAAACATATCTCAATCAGGAGCTCGTACGTTTCCGGCTCGTAGTTTTCCGCCAGATGGCACTACATTCGGGCAAATAACTTTGGGTCAAAAGCTCACTAAGGAAATTCAACCGTACAGTTATTGGAATATGCAATTTTATCAATCAGAACCGGCTTATGTGAAATTTGATTACACCATACCGCGAGGTGCTTCGATCGGCGTCTACGGTCGGCGTAATGCATTGCCTACGCACACTCAATACCATTTCAAAGAGGTTCTAAGCGGTTTCAGTGCCAGTACTCGTACTACGCGAGCTGCTCACGTAAGTATCCCGCAGTATTCATAGTCTTCCTTTAGTATGAATGGGTGGCGCATTTAAAAGGCTTATATTAACCAATAAATATAAACTTACATTTCATTTCGTTCTATGTTCTTGTATATCATCCGCTTAACAACTTATCACCTTCAATATCCCGCCTAAATTGTACTATCGCTTTGGCATTCCTCTACATCATCATGTATAAAATAAACTCTTTACGTGTGAAATTACTCATTCTAAAAACAAAAAATAATAAAAATAATAATAAAAATAATAATAATAATAATAATAATCGGGGATAACGTACAGTTATCGATAACACGTGAAGTTACCCGTTATATGGAACCAGGACATTGGTTTGTCTCCTTATATAATGATGATGGTGATGTTCAAGAGGTTACTTTTTATGCGGCCATTGCCGAGGATATGACACAAAATTGTCCGAATGGTTGTTCGGGTAACGGCCAATGCTTGCTCGGTCATTGCCAATGTAATCCTGGCTTTGGCGGCGATGATTGCAGTGAAAGTGTTTGCCCGGTTTTGTGCTCCCAGCATGGCGAATACAATAACGGTGAATGTATATGTAATCCGGGCTGGAAGGGCAAAGAATGTTCGTTGCGACATGACGAATGCGAAGTAGCCGATTGTAAAGGTCACGGCCATTGTGTGAGTGGCAAATGTCAATGTATGCGCGGTTATAAAGGCAAATTCTGCGAAGAAGGTATATAATGAAAGCAAATTTTACTTGAAAAAAAAAGACACGAAAAAAGCGATATACGTCATGTTATTTTTTTTTTTTTTTTTTTTTTTTTTTTTCATTTTATTTGAGACAAATTAAATTTAAAAATATCGTAAAGATTACGCCACGACGACAAATCTTGCAATAAAGAAAAAGATATGTAATAAAATTTAAATCCTTTGAGTGAACCTCCGCAATGAAGGGAATTGTTGAGCCTTAGAAACGCGATAATACGGTTGTATTCGTCTTCAGTCGATTTTAACCATCCCCGCCATTAGTTTGTACATTTGCAAATGTGTATATGCCCCCGTCATGATGTTATTTTAATTTTTCCAAATGCTTGTAGAGCAATGAGATAAACATACGTAACTCTGCCATCTGTGCCCGATCTGTTTTATTAGCAAGATCGATTTAATTGTGTCTACGCAAACGTCTTTCTGTTTGTAAAATCCCATTTGCTGCGTACATCGCGATTGCGATTTAAAGGCTTATAGTTCTTGCCTGTCCGACTACATGAATTACATAGATAAGCTACGCGGAATACGTAGGTAGACATATGTGCGGCTTTTAACTTGTATAATTACCTAGAAAGTCCTTCCAGTATTTTATATGTACAATGACACGTACGCCTATTAACTCAAATGAAGCAATCTGTCCTGTAAGAATATATCATACATAAGCTAATGATAATTATTAAAGGACTCGGGTCAAGTCGCAAATAAAGTCGCTCTTCACTTCTATCTTGTAGTAAATAAGCTAAGATCAAAGTCGTCTTGTACTTTCAATTAGCCATCGAATTTTATAGTGAATTTCGTGTAACATGAACTGATTTTTCTAATTTAGTGGATTGTCCTCATCCCACATGCTCGAGTCATGGCTTCTGTGCTGACGGCACTTGCATATGTAAAAAGGGTTGGAAAGGTCCCGATTGCGCGATCATGGACCAAGACGCTTTACAATGTTTACCCGATTGCTCCGGTCATGGTACTTTCGATTTAGATTCACAAACTTGCACCTGTGAGTCTAAATGGAGTGGCGATGACTGCTCTAAAGAGTTATGCGATTTGGATTGTGGCCAACACGGTCGCTGCATAGGCGATGCATGTACCTGCGATGACAGTTGGGGAGGAGAATATTGCAATACGAAATTATGCGATTTGCGTTGCAATGAGCATGGCCAATGCAAGAACGGAACTTGCCTTTGTGTGACCGGATGGAATGGTAAACATTGTACCATCGAAGGATGCCCTAACAGTTGCTCGAATCACGGCCAATGTCGGGTCAGTGGCGAAGGCCAATGGGAATGCCGATGTTATGAAGGCTGGGATGGTCCAGATTGTGGTATAGCCTTAGAATTAAATTGCGGCGATAGCAAAGACAACGACAAAGGTAATGAACAATACTTTAAAAATTTTTATTATGAATTTATAAAAAATTTTCCAAAATTTTCGAAAATTTCCCCAGACGGTTTGGTAGATTGCGAAGACCCCGAATGCTGTGCCAGTCATGTTTGTAAGACGTCACAATTGTGCGTTTCTGCCCCTAAGCCAATCGACGTTCTGTTACGTAAACAGCCGCCTGCCATTACTGCCTCGTTCTTTGAACGAATGAAATTTTTGATCGACGAGAGCAGCTTACAAAACTACGCTAAGTTGGAAACGTTTAATGAAAGGTAAGTTTTAGTAGCTTCTTCTCTTTTATTTTTACAAACAAGCAATTGGTATTCAAAAAGATTAAAAATTGTGATCGATGCCTTCTAGAAAAAAGGAAAAAAAAATGAATAAAATAATGAGAAAACATTAAAAAAATAAAAAAAATAAAAAAATGATAAGGAAACTAGTTTGCATTTTATATATGTATTTATATTATATTATGTAAAAACTTTTGTTTTAAGTTTTTGTGACCCTGTCTAATGATATTCCTGTTCCCTAAATATATACTCCAGTAACCCCGATATATTTGTTGTAAGCTTAACCTTTGTCCTTTGTTGTGTATAACTTTATAAAAACAAAAAGAACCCTTTCAAAAAGGTCCCATTTACACATCTTTTCTTTTGTTTTTAATTTCATTGTTTATTCATTTCAAAACCTTCGAAGCAGGTTGTTTGGTGCGGGTCTATCGGGCTTTAAAGAGTATTAAAGTTTAGGTTTAAGAAAAAAAAAAAAAAAAAACAAAAAAAAAAAATATATACTCAGCATAAATCAAGTCTAATTCAACAATTTTTCTCTGCTCTCTTTTTTCTCTTTCTCACACTTGATCTTTCCCACTAATATGTTTGTTTGTTTGTTTTCTTGGCCAACACTTAACATAAATAAAAAAAATTACTAATTTTTTCCAAAAATTTAAAAAAAAAAAAAAAACAAAATTAAAAATTGAAAATAAATCAAAACGTAACGTTCTTAACACTCGTAACCCATGGCAAATCGCTAAACTAACCGTTACAAATTTGAAAACAAAAAAAAAACAACAAAAATCACAAAAATACACTAACAGCATTTTTTGGAATTATTTCAATGCAAGGTAAGGAAGCGTTCATCTCTACTAATTTTATACTCAAATGCTGGTTGTTTGGTATTTTCCACTTTTTTTTTTTTTTAGTTCGACTTTTATTATTTTTTTTTTCTCTCATATATATGAATATATATATATATGTATCCTTTTATCCCCTTTTTCTTTATTTATATTCTCTTCACTCTTAACTACTAACAACATCGTTTTTAGATTTTTGCAAATTTATTTTTCATCATCCGCAATGGTAGTTAGTTTTGTTTTTTTTTTTTTTTTTTAATTTTTTTATTTTTTTTTTTAATTTCTGTAGAATTTGTTAACACATATTACACGTTTTCGCTGTTTTGTTTGTTCATTCACCTGAAAACACGGTTTTTCAAACATCCAAGCAACCTTAATACTGTGGTCTTAAAGTCTACAGTGCGCCAGTGTTTTTTTAAATACTTAAAAATACCATAAAACAATTTCATTATAAATAGGTTGGAAATTGGGTTAAATCAATATTTGTTTTTTGTGTAAACCTTATATGTTTTCAGTTTCGTGTACGTGTGAAATTTTTTTTAAATTTTTTTCGAAAAATATGTTTTTTCCAATTTATTCTTTAATGCTTGCTAGTAAATTAGCTAAAAGTACTGTCTATCTCACTCTTTGTCTACGTCTCTCTTTTCAAAATATTTAACTAACTTATTTCGTTTCTTTTTTTTTCTTGCGCTGATGCTTATATATTTGTAGTCGTTCGGCTGTTATTCGAGGACGTGTAGTCACCTCACTCGGTATGGGTTTGGTGGGAGTGCGTGTCTCCACTACTACTCTGTTAGAAGGTTTCACTTTAACTCGAGATGACGGTTGGTTTGATCTAATGGTCAACGGAGGTGGAGCTGTTACTTTGCAGTTTGGTCGGTCTCCTTTCCGACCTCAATCGCGCATAGTACAAGTTCCTTGGAATGAAGTTATTATTATCGATATGGTGGTCATGTCTATGTCAGAAGAGAAAAGTTTGCCGCCCTCCACACACACTTGTTTTTCTCATGATTATGATCTGATGAAACCGGTGGTTTTAGCTTCGTGGAAGCACGGCTTTCAAGGAGCCTGTCCCGACCGCAGTGCCATTTTGGCAGAATCTCAAGTTATTCAAGAATCGTTACAAATACCAGGCACCGGACTCAACTTAGTATATCATTCATCTCGTGCCGCTGGTTATTTGTCTACCATAAAGCTTCAGCTAACGCCAGAAATCATTCCCAGTTCCCTGCATCTTATTCATTTACGCATTACCATAGAAGGTATACTGTTCGAGCGGATATTCGAAGCTGATCCTGGCATTAAGTTTACATATGCATGGAATCGTTTAAATATCTACCGTCAGAGAGTTTACGGCGTCACAACGGCCGTAGTGAAAGTCGGTTATCAATATACCGACTGCAAAGATATTATTTGGGACATACAAACCACCAAATTATCAGGTCATGATATGTCTATATCAGAGGTCGGAGGATGGAATTTAGATATACATCATCGTTATAATTTTCATGAAGGCATTCTGCAAAAGGGAGATGGTTCCAACATCTACTTAAAAAATAAACCCCGTGTTATTCTCACCACAATGGGTGATGGCCATCAAAGGCCTTTAGAGTGCATGGACTGTGAAGGTTTAGCTCTGAAGCAACGGCTTTTAGCGCCAGTAGCGTTAGCTGCCTCTCCTGATGGCAGCCTTTACGTTGGGGATTTTAATTATATTAGGCGCATTATGACCGACGGTACTGTACGCACAGTAGTCAAGTTAAATGCCACCCGTGTTTCATATCGCTACCATATGGCTTTAAGTCCTTTAGATGGTACGTTATATATTTCCGATCCTGAATCACATCAAATCATACGTGTTCGGGATACAAATGATTTTACACAACCCGAAAGAAATTGGGAACCCACTGTCGGATCAGGAGAACGGTGTTTACCTGGTGATGAGGCACATTGTGGTGATGGGGCATTGGCCAAAGATGCTAAATTAGCTTATCCCAAAGGCATAGCTATTTCTAGTGACAATATCCTCTATTTTGCTGATGGCACAAATATTCGTATGGTTGACCGTGACGGCATTGTTAGCACTTTAATTGGTAATCACATGCACAAATCACACTGGAAACCTATACCCTGCGAAGGAACGCTTAAGTTGGAAGAAATGCATTTAAGGTGGCCTACAGAACTGGCTGTCAGCCCGCTTGACAATACCCTTCATATCATTGATGATCACATGATTTTACGCATGACACCCGATGGTAGAGTGCGTGTGATATCCGGGCGCCCTTTGCACTGTGCTACCACCTCTTCAGTTTATGACACTGATTTAGCTACTCATGCCACACTGGTTATGCCTCAATCAATTGCTTTTGGACCCTTAGGGGAATTATATGTTGCGGAAAGTGATTCGCAGCGCATCAATCGTGTAAGAGTTATTGGAACTAATGGCCGCATTTCACCATTTGCTGGAGCTGAATCGAAATGTAATTGCTTAGAGCGTGGTTGCGATTGTTTCGAAGCTGATCATTATTTAGCCACCAGTGCCAAATTTAATACCATCGCGGCTTTAGCTGTCACTCCCGACGGTCATGTTCATATAGCCGATCAAGCTAACTATCGCATACGTTCAGTCATGTCCAGCATTCCCGAAGCAAGTTCATCGCGCGAGTACGAAATCTATGCTCCTGATATGCAAGAGATTTACATCTTCAATCGGTTCGGTCAACATGTCATGACTAAAAATATTCTTACAGGTGAAACCACTTACGTCTTCACCTACAATGTCAACACTTCAAATGGCAAATTAAGCACAGTAACTGATGCAGCTGGCAACAAAGTCTTCCTTTTGCGTGATTACACCTCGCAAGTGAATTCCATAGAAAATACTAAAGGCCAGAAATGTCGTTTGCGTATGACTCGGATGAAAATGTTGCACGAACTCAATACGCCCGACAATTATAACGTAACTTTTGAATACCATGGACCTACGGGTCTTCTGAAAACCAAATTAGATTCCACTGGTCGTTCTTACGTGTACAACTATGACGAGTTTGGCCGTTTAACATCGGCCGTTACACCGACAGGTCGTGTAATCGATTTGGCTTTCGATTTGAGCGTTAAAGGTGCACAAGTGAAAGTATCCGAAAATGCTCAAAAAGAAATTTCTATGCTGATTCAAGGTTCCTCAGTTGTCGTGCGTAACGGAGAAGCCGAATCTAAAACTATGGTTGAAATGGACGGTTCCACCACCAGTATTACCGCCTGGGGGCATATGCTCCAAATGGAGGTAGTACCCTATCCAGTCCTCGCTGAAATCAGTCCAATTATTGGCGAAAGTTACCCGGTCCCGGCTAAACAGCGCACTGAAATTGCCGGTGATTTGGCTAATCGTTTCGAATGGCGATATTTTGTACGTCGCCTACAACAAGGCAAACAGAACAAAGGACCACGCCCTTTCACACAAGTGGGCCGTAAATTACGCGTAAATGGTGATAATGTTTTGACTTTGGAATATGACCGCGATACACAGTCTATAGTTGTAATGGTCGATGACAAACAAGAATTGCTTAACGTTACTTACGATCGCACTTCTCGGCCCGTGAGTTTCCGGCCACAGTCCGGAGACTATGCTGATGTAGATTTGGAATATGACCGGTTCGGCCGCTTAGTAACTTGGAAGTGGGGTAATCTTCAGGAAGCTTACACCTTTGATCGCAATGGTCGTCTAAATGAAATCAAATATGGCGATGGATCATCTATGGTTTATGCTTTTAAAGACATGTTCGGTTCTCTACCTTTGAAAGTGACAACACCACGACGCTCAGATTATCTATTACAATATGATGATGCAGGTGCTTTGCAAAGCCTTACCACACCCAGAGGTCACATACATTCGTTTTCTGTGCAAACCTCACTAGGATTCTTTAAGTATCAGTATTTTTCTCCCATCAATCGGCATCCTTTCGAGATCCTATACAATGACGAGGGGCAGATCTTAGCGAAAATACATCCGCATCAATCGGGTAAAGTCGCTTTCGTTCATGATAATGCTGGACGTTTGGAAACAATATTAGCAGGACTCTCTAGCACGCATTACACGTATCAAGATACTACAAGCTTAGTAAAATCCGTCGACGTTCAAGAGCCTGGTTTCGAATTAAGACGAGAGTTCAAATATCATGCGGGCATCTTAAAAGACGAAAAACTTCGCTTCGGCTCGAAAAATTCCTTGGCCTCAGCTCATTATAAGTACGCCTACGACGGTAACGCCCGTTTGACAGGTGTTGAAATGACAATTGATGATAAAGAAATGCCTACGACACGTTACAAATACAGTCAGAATCTAGGCCAATTGGAGGTGGTCCAAGACTTAAAAATAACACGTAACGCATTCAACCGCACCGTGATACAAGACTCTTCCAAACAGTTTTTTACAATCATCGATTACGATCAGCATGGCCGTGTGAAAAGTGTGTTAATGAATATTAAAAGTTTTGATGTATTTCGTTTGGAATTGGACTATGATTTACGTAATCGGATTAAATCACAAAAGACCACTTTTGGTCGTTCCACGGCTTTCGATAAGATCAACTACAATGCTGATGGTCATGTAATCGAAGTATTAGGCACAAATAATTGGAAGTACTTGTATGATGAAAATGGTAACGCGGTAAGCGTAGTAGATCAAGGAGAAAAAATCAATTTAGGTTACGATATCGGTGATCGTGTAATTAAAGTGGGTGATATCGAATTCAATAATTATGACGCTCGAGGGTTTGTGGTCAGACGCGGTGAGCAGAAATATCGATATAACAATCGGGGCCAGTTGATACACGCATTTGAACGTGAGCGCTTCCAGACTTGGTATTATTATGATGACCGTAGCCGTTTGATGGCATGGCATGACAGCAAAGGCAACGTTACGCAATATTATTACGCCAATCCGAGAACACCTGCTCTTTTAACACATATGCATTATCCCAAAACGGGGAAAACAGTGAGATTTTTCTACGACGATCGTGATATGCTGATAGCCATTGAGACCAGCGAGCAAAGGTATTATGTAGCTACAGATCAGAATGGTTCGCCATTAGCGTTTTTCGATTTAAATGGCAGTATTATTAAGGAAATTAAACGTACTCCATTTGGGCGCATAATCAAAGATACGAATCCTGACTTCTTTGTACCAGTAGACTTTCATGGTGGTATGCTAGATCCTCTAACCAAATTGGTGTATATTGATGGCCGACAATATGATTCAACAGTGGGTCAATGGATGACACCCATGTGGGAAACATTGGCCACTGAAATGTCAAATCCCACAGATGTATTTATATATCGTTATAACAACAATGATCCCGTCAATCCCAGCAAACAACCGAATTACATGATTGAATTGGAATCATGGTTGCAACTCTTCGGGTATGACCTGAATAATATGCAAAGTTCAAAGTACACCAAGACGATACAATATAATCCACAAGCATCCATTAAATCCCATACTTTGGCTCCAGATTTCGGTGTTATATCGGGCCTAGAATGTATCGTAGAAAAAACGAATCAAAAGTTTAGCGATTTTGATTTCGTTCCCAAGCCATTGTTGAAAATGGAACCGAAAATGCGCAATCTCTTACCTCGGGTAAGTTACCGAAGAGGTGTATTCGGCGAGGGAGTATTACTATCACGCATCGGTGGCCGGGCCTTGGTGAGTGTCGTGGACGGCTCAAATAGCGTGGTGCAGGACGTAGTTTCTTCAGTATTTAACAACTCTTACTTTTTGGATGTGCACTTTAGCATACACGATCAAGATGTGTTTTACTTTGTGAAAGACAATGTTTTAAAATTAAGAGATGATAATGAAGAGTTGCGACGCTTAGGCGGAATGTTTAACATATCAACGCATGAAATAACTGATCATGGTGGTAGCGCAGCAAAAGAATTAAGATTGCATGGACCCGATGCAGTAGTTACGATTAAATATGGAGTAGATCCCGAACAGGAGAGACATCGCATTCTAAAGCATGCTCATAAACGGGCTGTGGAGAGAGCTTGGGAATTGGAGAAGCAACTAGTGGCGGCCGGTTTTCAGGGTCGAGGAGATTGGACGGAGGAAGAGAAAGAAGAACTAGTATCTCATGGCGATGTTGACGGTTGGGTTGGCGTCGATATACACAGTATTTACAAATATCCGCAATTAGCCGACGATCCAGGTAACGTAGCCTTCCAAAGGGATGCGAAACGTAAACGAAGAAAGACCGGCAACCAACATCGGCAACAGGGCAAACGGCGCCAACAGCGATTAAAAGACATGTCAACGTGAGTTTCACAAAATGAGTTCTATAGTAGCGATTACCAACAATACTACAACGATATCAGCGACTACTACTACTTGTACAGTGCGAATGAACCCGAATCCGAACCGCTGTACGACGCCGAAGACGAAGAGGAAAATGAAAATGAAAATGAAAATTTCGATAGCGAACTATTTTTTGAAAATAAAGCGAAAGACTTTGACAGCAACTCAACCGAAGATGACTTGTATTATTAAAATTTATATATGGCTCTCCTCCTCTCTCTCTTTACTTAAGACATCAAAATAAATATACAAATCAAGAAGAACAAAGAAAATTAATTAAATCAACAAATAAACGAAAAAATTTTTTGTGTCCCAAAATCCGAATAACAACAAAAAAAAAGCAAAGAACGGCTAGTTTGTCTTACATTACAAATACGCCATAGTTTTTCACCTTACCAGCCCGTAATGCGTTTCCGCAGTGCAATGGGTTGATTAAGTCACAATTTTTTGAATACAATTTAAATTATAATTAAATTGAATTTTATTCAAAATGAAAAAAATTTTTTTAAAAATGTAAAAACGAAAACAAAAAGAAAAAAAAAAACCACAAAACAAAACGTTTTTGTCTGCTAGACTTAATGAAAAATTATCTATATTTTATAGATAAATTATAAAATAAAGCAAAACATACATATACACACACATCATATAGAAGAGAGTCTGGCGCACTATAGTTTTGTATAGAAAATGAAATCGAGTTACATTAAAATGCAAAAAACAAAAAATAAAAATAAAAAAAATGTCTAAAAATAGATAAATATGTATGTGTATGTAAAAGAATTCTAAACTTTCCATGTACACACAAACACATCCACGCAGGCAAACAGACATAAAAATCAACATAAATTCAATTCAATGAAATCTTGAAAAACAAAAAACACGCGTATAAGTATTTACATATAAATGTAATATAATCGAATCTCAAGCATTTTTATGAAAATTATTATTATATAGAAAACATGTAACTGATCGAGATTCTTTTTCTATATGTAAAACAAAACGACAAAAAAACAACAACAACAACAACAAAAACTGAGATTAATTAGCTAAACAAAAATTAGAAAAAAAAGGAAAATAAATAAATAAAAATAAAAAAAAAAAACAAATTAAATGTAATTGATATTAAGCAAACTTATACATACATACATACATACATACATACATACACATATACCAACAGACATGCGTGCGTATATATATATTATGGACATATTAATCTAAAAAGCGGGGTATTTATGAAAAAAAAAAAAAAAAAAAAAAAAAAAAAAAAATAAAAACAAAAAAAAAAAAATGAAAAAAAAAAAAAAAAAATTATATTTTAGTTATATGTTAATATTTATGATATATGTAGTACACATGAGGAATGCAAACAACAAAAAAACGAAAAAGTATTATTACAAAATATATTATGTACGCATTAACAGTATATTATCTATTTTATACTTTTTCCCCCTTCTTTATTATACTATCCTTTGTAGTCTAACAAATCAGTCTAATTTTCCCAACGATAATCTGCGCGCTATTGACAATGCATTCTCCTTTACGTCACATACTAATGTATGCTGCACTTCACACACTGTCCACCGTCCACTTCTCTTCTAACCCGTACTTCTCCGGTACACTGCCTACTGCGTACTTCCTGTTACTTTTACAAAGAAAATTTACAAGCGCACATAGAAACACAATGTTTCTTCGAACAAAACATTTAAAAAATGGATTAAAATAAAATTAAAAGAAGGCATAAAATTATTTACTCTTGAAAATATAATAAATATATTTACCCTCTCATACGTACTGCCTGCATGCATAGCATATTTATTTTCGTAATTACGCAGAATAATTTTGCTCTGAAGATTGGTTAACGTATCGCGAAAAATGCATTCGGATATTTAATTACCCGCTATTATCATAATTCGTTATAGCTTAGATTCTTTCCAATGAAAACTTTTTTGCATCACATTCTGATCTTCTCTGAGGACACTTTCGATATCTTTCCAACTCTTTCTAGCGCAAAGAATCGGACATCAAAGATCCTCTAAAGTATATACACTAGTAATGTCTAGGTCTATGAATCGAAATAACGATTGTAGCCTTCAAAATACGTTCAAAGAAGCGAACGCTGTTCCAGCGTTTCCTTCTCACTCCTTTTAGGCGTGATTGTGACTTTCCAAATATGTTAAAACAATTAAACTTAATTACAGCTTTTTTCTTCTCACTCGCACTCTCGGAATGGCGGAAACCATTAACTTTTTCAAACTTTATCATCTCACCTTAGTTGCAAACTAATATACTTTTGATGCGTTAAGACTCAAACCTACTTTTCAATGGTGAGTTGAGTTTGTCCTCACGTTTACTGAACGGGAGCCAAAACTATTGCGTCCTTAAGGTGATCTATCATAAATATTATTAAATTGTCAGGGCAATATTTAGTCGAGTAGTAAAACTTCTTACATCAAGCAGAGTATCTTTCCAAAGCATTTCATAACACTTGATGTCAATAATCAAAAATCCTAAATTATTATCTAGACTTGCTAGATTTTTCTCTTAATAGCTCAGTAGCTGCTATAGATTGCAAATTAAAAGAAAATTTCTAATTTATGATAAGCTAGATTAGTGAAGATCGTATATCGGAGCCGATATTGAGGAACAACACAAAAGCACAACAAAACTCTTACAAATGGAAAATGAAAAAAAAAAAAAAATCCGACTTAATAACTTGGGTCTTTCAATGCAAGCAATAGAGAGAAGAATAAGAACATACAAGAGATTATTAAGAATTCGCGGCGATATATTAATTGTGTATAGGTGCGATTTAAAAAAAGTCTTTTTTTAGTTGTAATTTTTTGCTGAAATCGTCAGTGTATGTAGGATAGGCTTCTGTGTGGAATAGCACATCGGACAAATGGCTTCTACAGCTGTCCTGGAACATATGCACTCTATTATCGAAATTATTCGTGACGATTTTGAGCAAAGGAATGACTGAATTTCGTCGATGCGAAGTTGAATCTCGTCCTTCTGAAGCAAATCTAATGTCTATAGAACAATTCTAGTGTCTAATACATCAAATAGGTCGCAAAAAAATACTTAATAACAACAACAAAATAATTGAAAATCTTTGTAACCTCGCGACAATTTCACTTTTCGTCTGCCATGCGCAGTCGACTGAATATGTACAATCCACTACTAGCCCGAGTAGGTAAGTCAGTGTCCGCGGCAGAGTTTACTTTGGTCGTAGCAATAGTGAGTGCTGAGTCGGCAGACGCAGAACATTTATCGTTCGGTCCCCTATTCTATCCTCTTCCTCGATTCGAAAAGAATAATTATTCTAATTATAATTGAAAATTATAAATGATAGAGACCTTTATTGGATGAGACATTTATCTCAAGTGTTTTTTTTTGTACTTTACCAACCGATAGTTTGGTAATAGTTTGTTTAGAGGCGCCAAAATTTTTGTTTATCGATAATAGCAAAGAGCAGCAATTTGATCTGAGCTTGAGCTTAGGCAAAGGCGCAGACAAATAATCCGCGCAGCAGAGTCTAAACGCATATAAAGCCGGCGCTAAAATGAATGTTCGGCTGAATTGAGTTAAATCTAACAATGTCTACAAATCTATTGATCGCTGAAGATTATTTCTGTTCCAAGTTCGAAGTGGATTGTATTACCGTAAATTCATCACTTCAATCTCTCGTCACTACTTAGTTACATTTTTAATTAACAATTGTCGCCTTTTCTCTTTTTCCTTCACCTTCTTTTGCTCTCTCCCAAGATACGATTTAATTTTTCTCCTTAATAGTGTTCCGTTTTGTTTCGCAGCAACAAAGCGTATAAAAAAAATATTTTTTCATGTATTTATAAATTGTGATATAAATAGAACAAGTAACCCAGCAAACGTTTGCTTAATACACTTTATTTGTTGTAATTTATGAAAAAAAACTTTATTTTGTAAAGAAAAACAAAGGTAATTTAATATTTAGTTCGTTTCTTTGTTTTTGTTTTCTTTAACAAAAACAATATTATTTGCAATAGTTGTATACTACTACATAACGACACATAGTTAAGTTAAAAAATTATGTTCACATTACGCATAGAGAGTAAAAATAAATGCCATATATAAAAGAAGAAACTTTTTCATTATATTATTATTTTACATTTTTTACGTTAAAAATAAAAAAAAAATTTAAAAAAAAAAAAAAAAAAAAAAAAAACTGTCAACGTGCTTTTCAAACAAACATACAAAACTTTAATATTTAAAACATATGTACCGTTATTAATATATCTATCACAGGCGAATCG